TTTACTCTAGTATAAAATTCTGATGTTAAGATCCTCTTGATCTTTTTTAAGACACAGATTAGTTACCTTGTAATTTTGTAAAAGTTTATTATTATTATTTTTTATCTTTGTTAAATGCTTTTATAAGGTTCTGGCGACAAGATCTTTGCGATCTTGTTTCAGGTTACAATTGATAATTGCTATTGCGTGAAACTTTTAGTTATGAAATTGAAACATATCTTAATAATTATTTAGTTTTCACTATGTTATTTGCTCTACTAATTATATAAAACGCTGTATTGAGCACTCTTACTGGAAATATTAACATAATTCCTACAATATATATATATATATATATATAATATATATATATATATATATATATAATATATATATATATATATATATATATATATATATATATATTATATATATATATATATATATATATATATATATATATATATATATATATATATATATATATATATATATATATATATATATATATATATATATATATATATATATATATATATATATATATATATATATATATATATATATATATATATATATATATATCATCATGTATATAATAATAGCAAACTTAATAGTGTCCCTTGGAGCGTATTTGACACGAAACCCTTGGCAGCCATTGCAACCGAGGTATTGGTAAGAAAGAGTCGCAGCACTATAAGAAAACGTGAACGAATATCTAACGTGCGTAAACTTTAAACTAAGTAATGTTAAAGCATATGTTAAAACATGCTGCAACATTTATTATGTTTTACAGTTTGATTTTTACTTGAAAAATACATTGCGTCAACCTCTCTTTAATTTTGATATTTTATTCAAAAAAATAACTACATTATTATAAAATCTACTATTGATGATATGCCGGTGTAGCTCGAGTGGATAAGGCGACGAACTTCTGAACAAGGAACTAAAGGTTCGACTCCTACAAATGGCGGCTATTTTTTTAAATTTTTTTAATTATTTTAAAATACAAAATACTTTCGAAAAAAAGAAAAAACTTAACAAGACAGCCCTGCTACTCCAGAAGATGCTGCTGTGGGGGCAAAGAAAAAAGCCTGTAGCTAGATAAAACTTTAAAACTTTCTTTTGACAATTAAAAGTTTGTTTTGCTACATTAACTTTTTTACTTTAAATATATGCAGCAACTGTTTTTCAAAACGCCTTAATATGCTTATGACGTAATTCAAAAAAAACGCAATTAAAAATAAAATTGTTTAGAAAAACTCTTCGTAAAACGTTTTTTGAAACGAATAACTTTTATTTAGTTTTTTTTTTCTTTTGTGCAACTTTCTTTTCAATAAATTTCTTTACTTTTCAGAATATAACCATTTCTAACAATGCTATAGAAAAAATATCAGTAAATTGATTAGTAGTATTTCAATTATATTAATTAGATTAAATTAAATATATTAAATTATATATTATATATATATTAAATTAAATAGATAAATAAAATGATATACAGTTAATACATGTGTATTTTTTTTTTGAAAAAACTTAGTGACAAAATAGACTAATTAGGTAAGTCGTTAAGTAGCATGCTAAGAATATATTTATGGCGGTTATTTTTGTTAAGGGTGCTTAATAGGCAAATAAATTAAAAGCTAATCAGGGTTTTGAATAAATTATAAACTAAGCAGGGAAGTTTTATTTGTAAACCTAATAAATAGGAAAATAACATATAATTCAGGTAGACATTGTTTTCACTTTTTCGCCAAACTTTGATATTTTTGATATTAAAAATGACCTTTCCAATAATTATAGATGGTAGTGTATTAACCTTTTTTTTCGGAACCACAATCCGTAATGATTTGTATTTTATCAATGTGAACGAAAGTCTATTCAGTTATCTTAATATGTAAACTTTAAGTTCTTTAATTATCAGTCAGTATTATTATAAAGTAGATGACATCAAATTCTATCGATTTATTTTTACTTAAAAATTTTATTGCGACAATATCTCTTTATTTTAAAGCATTAAATGTTGTTTTTTAAAGTTTAATAATTTTCTGTTTATTAAATAGTGTAAAAAGATGATATAGCATTCCAAAGCGATTGAAGTGCTTCACTTGGGTTCAAAACCTTTTGCTTACACAATTTTTTTAAAAAATCTTTTCCAGTTTTCTAGAAAACAAAGAAAAACAAGTTTAAATGCATATAGATGTTATACGCATTACATAAAAATAAAGATATAATATATTATAACAAACCAAACGGAGAGAATTTTTTAAAACGTTTTTTAAAATTTCTAAAAACATAAAAACGCTGTTGGAAATTTGTAGCGCATATATAATGATAGAGATACTTATGTTTTAGGTAATTAGTTAAGTCTGTAAGTTCAACGCACATTAAAGAGATAACTTTCTTTCTTATATATAAAAAAAAAAGGTTTTACATGTAAACTGAAATTTTTATTAAAACTAACTGGTCAAGAGTCCTAAAAAGTACGGTAAGGTATAAAAAAAAAATTGTATTCTGAAACGTAAAACAAAAATTTAGTTACTCCAGAAGGTGACAAACAGAAAATCCACAAAATTTCGCCTAATCCGCGAATAGAAATGCATAAATACTAAGATATAAACAAATATTAAATGATTTTTGTATTACGAAACGTACGCCAACTCTTAAACCACTGTAAAATTACCTTGCGGTTATCTAATTAAATCCACCAAATCCATTAATAAAAACAGCTTAATTAATAGATAAAAAACCATCTGATTTTTGTATTATGATATGTGCGCCAACTGTACTCTAAAACCAATAAAAGATAAAAAGAGATGATATGTCAATAATACTGAGATATTTAGCTTATTATTTTATTAGGAAATTACATTGAGAAAATTTTGTATATCTTTAGGCGACGAAGAAGTTTCTGCATTTTTTCGAAGTAAGCCATTTATATATACTATTTATAGTAGCAGTTACATATGTTCTAAAAGTGGCGGAGCTGTACTTGATTCACGTGTGAATAAAACGATGATTTATTTTAGCCGTTTTTAATTGAAATCAACCAAGATATGCCGCCCTCCCCTAACCCCGTGAATCTAGTACACTGCCCTAAAATTTAACTAAAATTAAAAAATATATAAATTAATTTTTAGAACTTTAAAAGGGTGGACCCGAAACTCAATTTTTGTTTATTCCGCTAATTTGATTGATGTTTTTGTAAAGCAGTGAACCTTAAAAACGCGTATAAGCATTATTTAAGGTGTTTAAGCTAGAATTTTATAAAACGTGTTTAAGCTAAAACAGACTTTTAAATCTTTTAACTACTAAATTTTCACGTAAAATGAAACTTTTTGTCACTTACTGATTAATTTATAAATGTTAAATTATAAAACTGTGCAACAGTTTTATAATTTAAGACAAATCTTATATGTTTAATTGAAAAAGTAAATATTATGAAAAATAATTTTGTCTATATATATATATATTAGATGTTCAAGAGATCAAAGCCGAAGAGCTCTTGCCAAGTAAGCTAACTTTGTATGAGAAGGATATGTTACAAAGATATATATTTCACCACTTTCAGCACTTTGTTAATTATAACTTTTTTTTAATGTTTAGCGGAAGTAATGGACAAGCTAAGTCAGGATTTTTTTTTTTTTTTTTTTTTTCTTTTTTTTTGTGTGCAAATACAGTTATGCTAAGAGTGTTATGTGTGTTAAAACTTACTGATAGCATATCTTAGTTTACAGAATACTTTATTTATTTATTTTTTTGTCCCTACATTAACACCTCAAGCAATAATATCAGGTAATCTGTTTAGCATACTTATGCTTTTTTTTGGGTTTTATGTGTATTGAAACTTAAATATTTTTTTTTTCATGTTTTCATGCGATTACATAAATGTTTAACATATGTTACTTCATACACTTTTTTTTTTTTACTTTCACAATAGCATCAATATCATCTGCAGTGCCATCAGGTAATGTGTTTTGCATTCTTATGCAGTTTTATGAGTGTTATGTGTATTAAAACTTAAAGATTGCATATCTTATTTTGCACATCACTTTATTTATATAATTTTTTGTCTCTACATTAACACCTTAAGCAATAATATCAGGTAATCTTTTTAGCATACTTATGCAGTTTTATGGGTTTTATGTGTATTGAAACTTAAATATTTTTTTTTTCATGTTTTCGTGCAATTACATAAATGTTTAACATATGATACTTTATACACTTTTTTTTTTACTTTCATAACAGCATCAATATCATCTGCAGTACCATCAGGTATTGTGTTTTGCATACTTATGCAGTTTTATGAGTGTTATTTGTTTTAAAACTTAAACATTACTTTTTTCATGTTTGTTATTAATTACAAAAATGTTTAACGTATGTTACTTTATACACTTTTTTTTTTTTACTTTTACAATAGCATCAATATCATCTGCAGTACCATCAGGTATTGTGTTTTGCATACTTATGCAGTTTTATGAGTGTTATGTGTATTGGAACTTAAACATTACTTTTATCGTGTTTGTATGCCATTACATAACTGTTTAATATGTGTTTGTTTATATACTTTTTTATTTATTTCAGCAATAGCAACAGTATCAACTGCAGTACCACCAATTGATGTGTTTTCCATACTTATACAGTTTTTCCATACTTATGCAGTGTTATGTGAATTGAAACCTAAACATTAATTTTTTCATGTTTGTATGCAATTACATAACTGTCTAATATATGTGTTAGTTCATATTTTTTATTTATTTCTATAATAGCAACAATATCTGCAGAACCATCAGGTAATCTGTTTTGCATGCTTATGCAGTTTTATGGGTGTTATGTGTATTTGTGTAGGTATATATGAAATTTAAACATTGCGTGTCCTTATTTTTACATTACTTTTTTTTTTTTTTTTTTTGTCATAACTTTTTTTTTTTAAAGTCTAAATAGTTTTAAATAATATTTTTATTGGTTGTTTGTGCAGTATTGTGTTCAAATTTATTTCTTTTTTTGTTTTTGTTTTTTAGCGTTGCATCAAGATTTCCTTCGATATCGCTCCCAGAACCCAGGTCCGATATCTCAAAGGGCTTTCTACCGGTGGTGTCAATATGGGGGAGATGATCCTTCCTTTAGATGGAGAAGACAAGCCCCATATGACACCATTGGTAGAAGGAGGGGTGCTGGGAAGCAGTTCAACTCTTTTAATTTCGACCAGTAGCTTTTTTAAGCTACTGGTAGAATTATCTTTATCTTTAAATATAAAGAAAATTGACTTTTTAAAAAAATGTTTTTTTTAATTTTGCAATTTTTTATTATCTTAATTTTTATACTTTTAATATTTTATTTTTTTGATTTTTAATTCTGTTTTTTAAATCCTAAACTTACAAAAGAACTCTTATGTTATAAAAATTTTTAATAATTTGTCTATAAGTTTTTTTATTAATTCACGTTTTTACATCTTTTTATCTTTATTTTTAATTTTAATAATAATAAATTTTCTTTTGTATTTTTATTGTACTTTTATTTGTTAAGTGTTATATAGTTTTTGAAAGATTCGGTAAATATATTTAAAATTTTTCTTTTTCTATGATATTTGTTTAACGTGTCTAATATATGCACTATACACCTATTAATCTCTTTACATTATTCTCTTTAGATATATTATAAAATATTATTTAAAATCAGTTGTCAGCCACATGTGGTCTATATGATGCAACATGTTTGCAATTGTTGGCATGTCATTTTTAATTTAGTATTATTAAAATTAGTTTGGTGTTATTAAAATTGATTTGTAACTAATTTTGCTTTTTAATATTATCATTAGTATGACTTTTAAAATAATAAAATTGTTTATTTGTTTTAAAAAACACTGTTTTATTACTTACAATATCGTATGTTATTACAAGATACTTCTGACTTTTTCTCTGTTTCAAACCAGTTTAGTTATAATTTTTGTTCACAAATTTTATTAGACGCTTTACACATAGTTTCATAGGTTTAAACTGATAAATAGCACTTTATTGTTTTTGTTCATTTTAGATTAGTATAGCAAAAAATTAATCAGATATGCGTTTATATATCTTTATTTATATTTATGTGCTTAAGTTTATATAAGTTTATATTAAGTTGTTTCCATGTGAAAAGTAATGTTACTTGGCAACGTGTAGTGCAAGATTGTGATTCTTGCTAGCCAAGCGGTGTTACTAATTAGTGGTGTTACTTGGCAATTAATGCCAAGCGGTGTTACTAAATTGTGGTGTTACTTGGCAGCGTTTAGTGCCAAGCGGTATTACAAGTGTTGAGCTAGGTTATGTTGTCTAGCTTTTGAAATTATTCTGGAAACACATAATCTGAATATTTTGTGTTATGTGCAAATGTGTTTATGTGCAAATATTTTATACTATGTGTATTCAGTAGCAAAGGCAGGGTCTTTTGATGCTTCAGATAGCACTTTCAACCAAACTTAAGTGTATTCACGTTTATAGAATTAAAATACTTTGCAAAAAATTGATGTTGTTAAAGCTTAGGGACAAATGCTTAAAAAAAGTGTTTTTCCTAACCTGAATTTTTTTAGACTTAACAAAGTTAAACTCTTCAACAACTTCTAAATATATATCTGAAACAACAAAAATCCCGCCTACACTACTCATGTTATTGTTTGTCATCCTGTAATGTTGTTGTGATGTTTTGTGTTGATAGACAGCTTGGCTTACCTTCACGTTGGTGTCTATTGTTAAAAATGATTATTGGGTAGCTTCATTACTGAAACCTTCTCCTAATCATTCACTAAAAGCCAAGAAATATTTTAAGAAAAAATGCCGAATTTTTTTGTGTCGATAAGAATTTTTATCTTTAGCAATGCTGATAAAACTGAATTTTTTTAAAAAAAGAGTATTCCCAGCTTTTTAACCAAATATTAGAGACTTTTACAAAAGCACTCTCACAAAGTAAGTGTTTAATATTTATTTAATATTACTAAATTTCGTTTCGTATTTTTCATTTTTCAAATGAATTAACATAAAACATATAAATGTGCATTCAGTGTTATCAATAATGATTTTATTTCATTTTTAGATAACGCTTTTATAATCAATTTAAAAGTCTTTCAAATCGTTAATCATTTTCTAAAGGCGAAGAAGAAGAATCATCAATCTTCATACCATTTAATAAAGCTATTTTATTAAAACACAATACAAATTGTTGTAAATTAGTATTTGAATGATTTGCGTGTGAATAAATTTCACGTTGTTACCTTATTTTGCAGTTTCCTATCACTTTGTATTAAATTAAATCCAATATTACAGTTCCTTATATCAAGTACTTCACATTTTCTGTTTTTGTTTTATGCCGAAAAATAGATCAAGTTAGTTTATTTGACTTGCCTAGCTACTTATTTTACACGCCCAGCCACAGTGAGTGTGCATAAATCAACAGAGGATTTGGGTTTGGGCAGGTTGTCTTGAACTAAATGATTTACCGTCTTCATGTTAAGCTATAAATATAAATATACGGAAAAGGTGCATATGTGAATTTTTTTTTTCTAGCACATAATCTGTTGTTCACTAAAAAATATTAGAGGGAGAAATAGAGATAAGGTTAATGTGGAATAGAGTTTTTCCTTTTAAGTGAAAAACTATTTTATAATCTATCTATCTTCTATATCATAATGCCCAACTTAATAGTAGTATTAGTAGAAAGAGTCGCAGCACTTTTTTTAAAAGAAAACGTGTACGCAAATATCTAACGTACGTAATTAATGATAAAACATACTGAAACATTTTTCAAGTTTTATAGTTTGACTTTGACTTAAAAATTGCATTGCGTCAACCTCTCCTTAATTTTTGATCTACAGCAATTCCGTTAAAAGCAATTTTTATATATTTTTTTAAAATTTCGATATTTGATGTGTCAGCATATCCGAGTGGTTAGCGCGCTAAGCTTCTGAACGTAATAGTCGTGGTTCAAATTTACCACCAGCAATTTTTTTCTTTAAATTACAAAATATTTGTGAAGTTAAACAAGTTAAATGTTATACTTTTTAACCGTTTTTTCTTTTTAAATTTTATAAATTTTTTGGATTTCTAAAAACACCAATAAACGGGGCGAAAATTTGTTGCGTGTGTGTCATGATTTTGATACTGTTCTCACATAATTGGTCCTAATAAGCTACGGAGAGTCTTAAAAAAAAAAGGTCCTAAAACCTAATAAGGAAAAAATTTGATAAACCGTCCTGCTACTCCACATGGTATTGCAGTGGAGGCAGGGAAAAAAAAAGCAATTAAAAGGTTTTTTGTTATATTTAATTTTTTGCTATAAATATAGCCAGATTTAAAAAATTAAAAAAGATGTATTGAGATTTTTTAGGTGCGGATTTGAAGCCTTGCACAGCAACTTTGATGACTGCGCACTTAACTTGTGAGCTATCAAAGTTATGCATGTAGTTAGGCGCTTCAACATTTTTTTAAAAATGTAAAATGAAAACAAAATAAATACCATAAGTAAGAGCTAAGTAATAACATTTAAAAATTACCAAACTTTTTGTTATATTATTATTAGTTTTTCAACTTTTATACCACAAAATTTATAATTTATTTTTTTGCATGACTTTTGACGCTTTAAGCAACTAATGTTTTAAGGAATTGCATTACCGTTTCCGTCTAATACAAAGGTAACTATAAAAGACCGTTATTATTCAAAACTAAGCATATAATAATAATAAATATAATAAATAGTAACTATTGAAAATAGCTAAGACACGACCATAAACCATGGTTCATGGCTGGTCTAAAAGTAGAAAGTAGTTTAGTTCAGAAATTTTTTTAATAAAAATAAATAAACGGGGTTTAATAAGCTATATACGTATGCGGAAAAAGTGCGTATGTTAAAGTTTTATTTTGCTCTCAAAGCAAATTTTTGTAATGAACTTTTTTTCCACCGTTTACTAAAAAATATTGAAGTAAATAAGGAACAAGTAAAAAAATGATTGGCGTGGAATAGATAAATATAGAAGTAGAAGAAAAGACCTGTATTTACCGATACGGACAGCTAGATTAAGAAAATAAAGGAAAAGGTTTGTGTGGAATAGACTTACAAAGACCCGTATTTTTACGGGTCAATTTAGCTAGTATATATATATATTTTTTCTTTCAGATTTATACACATTTAACAACACCGACACATAGTTCTGCAGAGGGTGTTTAAGGAGGAATGCCTAATAAGAGAAGAAAGATAGATTCACTTATTGAGGAGATCTTAAGTATGACAAAATCAGTTGATAAATCTTACACAAAAGCGTAAAATTTTTAATTATTATTTTCATAGGCTTAAAACATCATAAAATGTATTCTTTACAGTATGTATACATATGTATATATATATATATATATATATATATATATATATATATATATATATATATATATATTTTTTTTTTTTGTCTGCGAAACTTGAAGGATTTTAGGTCGGCACGAGAGTGCCGTACTTAGCTAAGGTTAGGTTGGCAAAAAACTTTGCTACGTTTGAATAAATTTAAAAAAAAAAAAAAAAATTATAAAAAAAAAAAAAAAAAGCATTTTGTTTTTTCATAATTTCTTTAAAAGTAGTTATAATAACTAATGATAAACTTTTATTGAACAAAGATTGATTTAATTATGTATATATGCATGTATGTATTAAAAACATCAGTCTATAATTTTTAATTTATGTAATTAAATCATGCTTTTAATTCAATATATATGTAGATGCAAAAAATGACAAGTAGGTACAACGAGCCACTAATAATTTATAGGAATAAATTGCCCACAGTTCTACTTAAATTACTTATTATATATTATTATGAAGTAAAATAAGAAAAACAAATTAAATTTTTTTCAGAAATCTAATCAATATATGATGATTTGAGAGTAAGGAAGCTGTAAATTATTTTAAAAAACTCAAATATCTCCTAATACAATATAGAGCTTGTCTAATATGCAATTTTCAGTTTTATTTCATATGTTTTCAGCTAGCAAAAACAAGCTATTTAATAAAAGTGTAAGATTTAAAATGTTTAATTGTAATATTTTAGAATAATATGTAATATATGCATTACTAATAATAATATTATGCTGACTAATGATCAAAATTTGTTTATTATTTTGAATTTTAGTTGTTTAAGGAAAAGTACATACCCCAATATTTACGAAAAACTACAAAAATGCAATCACTTTAAGTAAATTAGTTTCCACATTTTCAAAAATAATGCAATATTTTATTTTTCGAATATGTGTTAAGATTATGTGGAAGTTATTACAAGGTGTTGGAAAATCATGGAGTTTCAGATTTTAGCAAAACACCAGGAAGTAATGAGGTAAATTGGGTTGTATTTTGAAATACTCAGAAAAAATCGACGAGTGTACATGACCTATGTCAGTTTTGTATCATACACGTAATGTAAAAATTTATTCAGAAGAATTTTCTTATGGCCTCTTTTTGATAATTTGAAATTTGCTTGTAAATATTAATGTAAATATTTGTATATATTTGCACTAAAGCATTTTTCTGAACGAATTTAAGTTGATTTTTTCTAAAGTTGAGCTATTGTTGCTTCAAATTAAGTTAGAAAAAACAAGTTGAGAATCAGAGGAAAATTATCTTTAAATATTGGCAGACACCCTATATATAACTTATTTGCTTAAAAAAAACAACAACTTACATACACTGGGACGCTGAGTGAAGAATAGAAATAGATTTTTGTTATTAAATTTTATATTTGTTTAAAGACTACAGTACAAAACCCACATTAACTCATGTTTTTAATTTTAATAAAAATAGCATTTTGTGTTTGATTAATTTAGCTTTATGTAAGTTATATATGACAGTTAGTTAATTTCTGTACATAATCATATTCAAACATCTCAATTATGCATATATAATACATTTTTTTGTAGTAAAGTTAAACACCAGTGCACAATGAAAAGTATGGATATACACAAATAAGGGCCACTGGGTGCACAAATATGTGAAACTGTTTTTTTCTTGTCTTCAACAAGGCAAAAGCGTCTCAATCTTTAGTGTTATTTGTTATATTGTTGTTATAGTGTTGTTTTATGTCTTGAGTAATAACTTCTTTTATTTATTTTTTTAAATTAACTTTAAAATTGATAACAATTAATTAAAAATAATATTAATTTTTCCTCTTTAAACTATAGTTTCAGGAGGGTGTTGATCTATGCATCATTATTAGAAGCGAATTGTCATAAAACAATATTAATTTGGCACAAAATTTCTTGGTGCAGAAAGTTTAAAGTTTTACTAAGTTGATCCAAAAATATAAAAACAAGAAAAGTTTAAACAACTTTATGTAAACACAATGCAAATATAAAACGCTTTAGTGGTCAGACACAATTGTAATATACTTTAGTGAACAGGCTGTTGAAACAGCTGTAAACAATATTAGTGAGATGGGACTTTATTTAAAACAAAAGTTATTGAACATTTGAACTGCGCGCAGTTTTATATTGCATTGTTTTATAACTTATTAAAAAGTTGACTCTCGTTATTTGTATTTTGATTTGTAACCACCTGAAAACAAAAATGTTTTATTACATGTGTTTATTTACAACGAGAATAAAAAACTATCGCAAATATTAAACTGCAAACAAGTAGTGATTTAAAAATTTATATTCAAAATTCAATTGACCTTAGTTAAGATAGTTTCGAAATTCGGAATTCATTTGGTAATAATGTTCAATATCTTCAAGAGTTTTATCCTTCGTTTCGGGCACAAAGTAATATACAAAGAATATACTAATAAAACAACATGCGGAATAAATCCATAGAGCTCCTTGAACGTCAACAATATTTACTAATTTATCAAATAAAGATACCACTAAAATAGTAACACTCCAATTTATACATAAAACAGTAAAACAAAAATAACTGCGCATACGAGGAGGAAATATTTCAGATATAAGTAAAATTGGTAAAGGCCCCCATCCAATTGAGTAGCTCACAATAAATAGTATTAAACACGCGACAACCAACCATAAATAGCTACTATGGATTTTGACATAACTAATTTCTAACATCTGCATTTTACTATTATTAAAATGAGATTCCAACGTTTTATTACTGTTTGGTATCTTAGAAATCTGAAAATAAACTCCAAGTACAAGATTGCAAATAAACATACCAACAGCCCCAAGAATAAGAAGTTTTCGTCTTCCATATTTGTCCACAATGAAATATGTTAAAACTGTAAAAAGCACCATTATTAAATACAAAACTAATAATATTTTGCTGAAGCCTCCAACAAAAGATATTTTGCGAGCAGAATACATCAAAGCATTTATTCCACACATTGGCTGAAAAACCATTAGGAAAGTGCCATACAGTAAAGGTCGATAGAAGCGAGGCTTTCTAAAATCGTTTAGAGCTGCCATAGTTTGTTGTTCTACAATGGAAAATTGTAAAAGTATAGCAAAATCATTACGTAATAAAAATGGGTGACATAGGAGAAATTTAAATAAATTATATATATATATATATATATATATATATATATATATATATATATATATATATATATATATATATATATATATATATATATATATATATATATATATATATATATATATATATATATATATATATATATATATATATATATATATATATATATATATATATATATATATATATATATATATATATATTAGGGTGTCCCAAAAACATACTTTTTTCAAAATTTCAATGTGCTCTCCACTGATCCCCATTCTATAGGTCCTAAATAGTTACTAAATTTATTTTTTTTATTTTTTAATGACTAGAAGTGATAGATGTAAATTCTGAGTTTTACGGTATTTTACACATGTGTATTTACATAAAAACAGCGCTATCTCGTACTTCAATACGTTTTAATATGGTGTAATAATTGGTACACAAATAATTCCCATAGGACATTATTAAAGAATAGGATCATTTCCTATGAACATTGTTAGCGATTGATATAATTCCCTCTGGACAATATTATTAGTTGGTATAATTCCTCATGGATTGGTTCACAAATAACTCCATTTAGAAATTTTTTTTGAAGGAAAAAATTTCTAAATGAAATTATTTGTGCACGAAGGAATTCTAATTTGTGCACGAAGAAATTCTTGTGTTCAGCTTCCATCTATGGTGATATTCTAAGATACTATCAATTTATCCTTCGCAAGTCACAAGTAAAATACAAACCCACTTTTACTAATGTTGGTTGCAAATTGAAATCGAAATTCAAGTATCTTGTTTTTGAAAATGGTGGTTGTACAGATACTGATAACTCTTGCATGGTAAATAGGATTAAAAAAATTTGGGATAATGCTGGGTTTAGCAAAAAATTTGTGATTTCAGGGTACATAAAGACCAAAATCATTTCAGGGTATATAAAGACCAAAATCATTAAACTTAATCTAAAATACAAGAAGTTGATTAAATTGTCTTCTCTAAACTGGAACACCAGCCTTGATAAGCAATCAAATTTTCTGACAGAATCCTATTAGCTTTTTGACATCTCCACTAAGAATTTTAATATTATACTAGAATTTTAATTAGATATTCTTGCTGATAGATTGAGAGCAGATGATGCCAAGCTGGAAGATATAAAGTAAGTTTATTAAATAACACTTTTTTAGTAGTGAGATTTTTTTTCCGATTTAAAGTAACTTAAGCGATACTATATTATTTCCTTAAAAATATTTACGTTTCACTGCTTCCATGGTTTGGTCATCTTCCAGAAAAACTAGAACATTTATTAATTTATTTATAAATGTCTTAATAGAATTAACAATTTCTTAGTTTTATGAAGACCAAAAGTTGGATAGGAAAGGATATATGGAAACAAACGTTGACGAAGACTATAGTAGGAGAGTACTGGATGCAAACAGGAGAAAGAACAAGCTAGATAAGTTGAGAGAAAAAGAATTAGAGAGACAGAAAAACGTAAAAGATAACAATGATGTTTTGTTGTCACATGACTCCATGACAGAAGAGATTCAATTCAGCAGTGAAGAAGAAAAGCCAAACGAGAACTCTGAAATCAGTGAGAAAGAAGATTTCCTGCGTAACGGTCGGAAACGCAGGTATAGTATTATTTTAATAACATAGTTGTAATTTTCACAAGCTAAAACTGTTTTATTGAAAAGTATATAACTATAAATAGGTAGAAAAGTATTATAAAATGATATCTAGGTACAATTCTGGAAAGAGGATAAATCTAGCAGTGAATGTTGAAAAGCTCATTGAATGTACTGCTAATCCAGCAACAAGGTTCAATGTTAGTGTACGACCTCATCTGGCAATTTTAAGTGAAGTATTTAAAGCTGGAGGTATTGAAATTAATGATATACAACTTTTACGAAGCACACTTCATAGAAAAAAGTTCAAATATGTAGAACTTGAAGGAGACTTGGAGTGGATTTCAATAACTAATAATCTTAAAGGCCGACGGCTCATTCTTCATTTAGATACGAAACTGTTGGAACAAATTACCACTGGGCTTAACATTATTCAAAAAATTGAGCAACTTGCATTCTCAGTGAGTTCCCCGGATGACGATACCTTGGAAGACCATCTTTTAGGTGTTGTTCAATGTCCCTCTTCAAAGGGAGTTGACCAAGCAGAACAAATGCACAATCTTTTAGAATATTACGAATGTAAAGAGCAGATCATTGGTATATGCTGTGATACAACTGCAAGCAATACAGGCGGAGTAAATGGAGCAGTCCAAATTCTTACAGATATTTTGAAAAAACCAATTTTGTGGATAATGTGTAAGAGACACATATAAAGTACATGTATCTCACTATATGGCTGATTGGCTATGTTCTTCGCACTGTTGCAGGGGAAGCTAAGAAATTTTTGACTAATACAACTATGCTATAGTTTGTAAGCTTGCCTCCTTTTTCCTTGGAGCGGAAGTACAAGATTTTAAGTTCCAACAACCTGGTGCCTGTCATGAGGCAAGATTTTTAGCAGATGCGATCTACATCCTGACTTTTTATATGACCAAAGATGTCAGTAATATCTTGACAGAAAAAGAAGTGCTGCAGTTGAAGGATGCAAGTTTGTTCATTGCAATTTGCTATGTTCCATGGTTTTTGAAAAGTTTTTTAGGATTTCTGGCTCCCTACAATAATTCAAAAGCTATCCAGACAGTCTATGCATTGAGAAAAGTCAATAAGAATATTGGAAAGGCTTTGCTTCTCAGCATGAGACGCCATACGTGGTACTTAACTCCGCAACTCTGTAATTTTTCCTTTGGGGATAAAGAAGTTCCTACTGAAACATAGCTAAGAATTCTGTTAGCTCTGATTGAGTTTGAAAAGCCAAATAAATTTCAGCGTTGTAAACCATCAAGTATACAAATTGGAGAGACCACAGAGCTACTGAATTGATTTCCGTGCAAAGCTACCTTCTCTTTAAAATACAGTTTAAAATATCAAGAGCAAGTATAAAAGATTGGCTCAACAATAGTCTTAATACTATAGATGTTTTTAACCATCCTTAGTTGCTAGATTTTATTGCATTGATTAAAAACATATCTGTTGTAATAATGGTGCAGAAAGAAAAATTAAGTTCATTAAAGATTTTATTTCAGTTACTAGAGATGAAGATTACCTTCAAAATGTACTTTTTGTAGTTAAGAAGTCTAAAAAAAACTTTACTAAGAGTACGAGTAGAAAGAAGCTTGGAAACTGTTCAAAAATTTGTAATTTTTTACAAATGTTTCACCGCAATAAAATCTTAAATTTGCTAATAAATATTAGTTTTCATGTATTTTTTTTGTATTTTCATATTTATAAATATAAAACTATCAGGTTAAATAGTAGAAAACAGTTGTAAATGATTTATGCCCATTTAATTGTTTTGTTTTAATTTTCTAAAATGTAAAAAAATTGTGTTTTCTATAATATTAAGCTAGCTTAACATTAAAAACAGCAAAACTCAGATTTTACATTTAGCACTTCCTGTCAAAATAAAACCGTCAAATTTTTTTTAGCACTTATTTTGGTCACATAGAATGGGAATCAGTAGAGAGCTTTTTTTTTTTTTTTTGGGACACCCTAATATATATATATATATATATATATATATATATATATATATATATATATATATATATATATATATATATATATATATATATATATATATATATATATATATATATATATATATGCATCTAAAAAAAAAAATGTTTAAAGGATTATCATTTATTCAAGTTAAAGAATTACTTGAAGTGCACGAGAAAAATATATTAAAAATGTTTGGCAAAAAAATTAACAGGATGGAGGAAAAATGAAAGTACTTAAAAGCGAAAATTTAATTTTAAAAAAGGAAATAGCAGATATTAAAAATGTAATGTCTTTTTAAAATGAAATGTATGAAAAAGAGACGACAAAATTATACGACTTTAAAGAACATCTTAAACACAACACGAAAGAAAATGAAAAAGCATTAAACAATGAAGAATTTAAAGATAAACTTGCGGAAGTTGAAGACAGAAGCAGAAGAAATAACATACGATTTGATGGCTTTGAAGAGAAGGAAAGTTAAAGTTTTTATAAAAGCTTGGCATGACAAACGAAGTATATATCGAGAGAGCTCACAACAGGAAAAAACAGAACAGGAAAAAAGAGTGAAGTTGGAATGAAAAAACGAAGAATTATTATTGCAAAATTTTTAAACTATAAAGACAAAGAAAAAGTTTTAAAGGAACACTGATTACTCAAATAATGGAACAAAAAAATATTCTTGAATGAAAATTTTAGCGAAAGAACAAGAGATAAATGGAAACTTCTTTTTGCAAAAGTTAAAGATATTCGAGTCACCAATAAGTATACTAAAGTAGTATACAATAAATTAGTTACGCACAAATTTTAAAAAAATTAGTTTTTTTTTATTTTTGGATTTCAAATAACTAAAATAGATTCAAACAAATCTGTTGATTTCCAATTAACTTTAATTAACTTATATCAAACTTATGATTTTTTACTGGACAGCAATAATGACCCTAACCTAAATTATTTTAATGGAACTGGTGCTTTAAAAAAAAAGTGCAGTTATTTGTATGTCCATGAATTTCTTGAACCAGATAAGTTGAATGTGATTCATATAATAACCGGATAAGTTGAATGTGATTCATATAAGAACCGGATAAGTTGAAGGTGATTCATATAAATATAAGAAGATTTAAAAAAAACTTTGAAAATTTTTGTATTTTAATTGATGAAACTTTTAACATTTTTAGCGTAATTTGCTTAACAGAAACTTGGTGTGATTCTGATGACGTTTATTTTATTTCTATTTTTAACTTGCCTGGATATAAATTGATTTCATTAGCACGTAAAACCAATAAACGTGGTGGTGGCGTGATTATTTACGAAAAGGAATGCTTGAAATTGTTAA